GTAGTGTGGATTTAGCAAATGTTTCTTTCACTGAGAGGTCATGTGGTCTAGTGCTGTACAGTGATTTCCTGTAGTTTGCTATCTTTGCTTTATCAGAAATTGACCTTTGATCTCTAGCTGTTAACCTGCGTAGCAGGCGCTTGAATAGTGGGCGTAAGAAAAAACGGGCGTGTGAGAAGGAGACACGCGACACCCCTCGCGTGTCTCCCGCGCGCGCTCTTGTTCTTTCTTTCGCCCACTACTTCCCAGCGCCTGCTACGCAGGCTAGCTAGCTGTAGGTGTTAGGATTTCCTTTCTTATTGTTAAAAGCAGCCCAACAACCTTTAGGGTTTGTTCCATAGTTTTCTGCAAAGTGTTGGATCTGAATTGTTATTTTGACCCTTTGTATCCTGGAATTCTGTATCTATTTTTGCCTTCAGTTTGAGGTGACATCAAATATTGATTCTTAACTAATCAATTTTGCCCACGATCACAATCTCTGCACATCAAATTAAAGCTTAGAAGTTATTTTTTCACAATACCTATGAAAAAAATGCATTTATTGATTAAAAAGTCTGCCCCTAAGGGTTTTAAAATAAAAAAGAAGGCATTTTTAGAGGGAAAAAATGAATTTTTTTTATTAAAACTGTTCAGTAAAGTCCATGTGATGTTTAGGGCCTAAAAACTGAAAATACATGGAACTAGCTTTCATTTGATACCCCAGTATGACAGGGATTGAGATTCCCTGCTTGATATGCTGGACCCATGCAGCTTTTTTGCGCTTTTTGCAGGGTATTGAAGTTCCTATTAAAGCTGCCATACTCTGGTAGTGTTGCCACTCCAAGTCCTTTCATGTAAGTTACAATAATGCGAACCTTAAGACTGGAGTCCGATGCCTGTTGTTATTCCTTCATTTGCATGTTATTGCCGTGACAGTTGCTTTAACTTTGATTTCGTTTTGTGGCGAGAGTGGTACAACCGTTTCTAGTCTTTCTAACTGGACGCATTTATCGGGCCGTTTCAGGGATTGGGAATCTCATTTTCGAATTGCCCGTTAAACAGCCAGTTGAAATAGGGTGGATCTCGGATCCACTTGTGCTTGAAGAAGATGATGAGCATAGTTTAAAATAGCCTGTCCCAGGCTCCGAGATAGTGGTGGAAAGTCGTTCGTTCAGTAAAAAGAAATGCAAGTCGTGCGCGTCTTATTTTCGCTTTGCTCGTCTTAATACGTTCCCACTATACTATCTGAGAGCCTGGCACAGGCTAAGTTTAAAATAGCTGCTGTTTTCTGTGGCAAAAAAATTAATACTCGCGGCACAAAAGTAGCCTGCGTAGCAGGCGTCGAAAGGGGTAGGGGTTAGGGAGGAAGGGAAAAAGAGGGGGATTGGGGAAGAGAGCCTCTCTTTGCTGGCTCTTATACACATCCTCCGTCTAACAGATAATGGTAAAGTTGTGTCTTTGCCAAAAAAATCAATTTTGAAGTTCCAAAATTTGACAAATATCCAAGTTTTTCAAAACGTTCGTAATACAGTCTCAGACAACCTAGTTCCCCACTAAAGACCTGTTCCTCTGGTCTCTTTTGGTCAGTACGTCCTCCTTGGATCGCACCTCCCCGTGAAAAAAAACCTGGCGGGCCTGCTAACATCTCTTTGCGCCAACAATATGAAAGACTCCGAGGAACAGGTAGGCTAGGAGACAAGAGAAAGTTATCAGTCATTAAGGATGTTGATGGTAACGTAACGTGGCCGTAACAATTAGCAACGGGTCAGCCGCAGAGAAGTATCAACATGGGGGTTTACGGTATTAATTGCTGTATTGAGGTTTTTTTCAAGCGGTATTTCGGTAATTTTGGTTTTCATGTGCGGTATTGCGGTATCATCTAGCCCTGCGGTATACGGTTTTGCATCTTTTGGTTAACGGCATTCGGTAAAAGAAGATCCTTCACGGTATTGCCGTACCATTTATTTGCGCTCTCTTGTCTAATACAGGTCAATACAATGTGTAGCCTGCGAACGGCAGACGTTTCTCCTCGCTCATCGCAGCTGAGGGACGTTTCGCGAGGAGGAGCCCTCGCGAAACGTCCCTCAACGGCGATGAGCGAGGAAAAACTGTTGCCATCCGCAGGCTATACAATGTGCAACAACAGTATTACAGCTAACCAGGTTAATAAAAGTTAATATTGTAAGACTTTAGACTTAAGGGTAAATGATTACACAGTCTAAGACAAAATTGGAAGAGCATCCAATGACCGGGCTTTTTGATCGTTGTACCGATCAACGTCTTCTCACGTTTTCTCGCCATGTCTGAGGTTGATTTCTGGTGCATACATGCTTGAGGTAAACAAACACGCGAGATGGATTCAGCTTAAAGCAAACGTGACCGATCATAAATGCGGTATCGGTATTACGTCGATTTTTGACACGGTATTTCGCTATTTGCCAATTTTTCTTACGGTATTGCGTTATTGGGTACCCCTAATGCCCCCCTCGTTTAAAACACAAAAGCTGAAAAAAATTAATGGCGGTCCTTTTTACTTGATCTGTGTTGTTATAAAATTCCTCCCGATTCTGTGTTTATAGAGTAAATTCATAGAGTCCTCTCTTTTAAAGTTAGAGCGTTCATGTAGATTCACGTAATCACACGTCGCTGCCGGGACCACAGACGTCAGTCCTTGAAAGGGATTTTTGACTTAGATGTCCACTAGATTAAGATAAGGGTTTCGAAACCTGATCCTCTGCCAAAACTCGATCTAAGATCTATGTATCGCAGAAATTATCCGAACACTGCCTCAACCCATGGCGTGTTTTACATGTGTAGTGCTTGTCCAGTCACATGCACCCCATTGAAATGAATTGAGGGGATACTTGGTGTACCCGAAGGAGATTGAAATCAATACAGGTAAGCGTTTTGTGATTATGTCATGGTAAAGACTTGAGGAGCACCATTGGAGTAATCATGTTCGGTGCGTGAATACAGTAAAAACCCGCATAAAAGAACACGTGTTTTGGGGGTTAAGGCTGATTTTGCTCTTTTATATCGGGTGTTTTCTACAAAACCAGCCTGAAAATGTTTTTAATGTGTTCTTAAAATTGTTTCTAAAAATTAAATACTGCATAGGCTACCAACAGATGAAATCAACGTGCACGCACAACAATATAATTAACTAATGGACGGAACTAACTTTATCTGCATCAACCAAGGCAATAATGTTACATTGGGGGAAGGGTAGCAGTTCTGGTGAT